CACACATTTTTGTTTAGTTTTGTTTTGAGAGATTTTTTGCTATAGGATGTGTGCACTTACTGGAGATACAGAGAGAGACAGAAAGTGAGAAATTGCCCCCTTGGGGGGGATGGCCATACCACCATTCTCCACTTGGGATTTTGGGCACGCACACACGTGCATGTGCCCAGCATGACTTTAAGCCAACGGGTCCAGGACTCAAACCATGATGGGGTACGTGGGAGTCCCGCGACATAACCATTACACCATCTGCTGGTTCCCCGTTTTACTTTTTTAATAGGCTATTCTTTAAGAATAATTTTAGATTTACGGATAAATTGAAAGGATGGTATAGAGAGCTCTCCTCTACTTCCCAAGCAGTTTCCCCTATTATTAACATCAAGTAGTGCGTAGTATGTGTGAGAATTGATGAGTCGATCTCAATGCTTTGTTATATACTGTAGTCTATCCTTTATTCAGATCCCTTTACTTTGTGTCTGATGCCGTGGTTCTGTTCTACCATCTCGTTCAGATACCAGGTTATCTCCAGTCTTTATGTCTCTGGAGGCTCCTCTTGACTGTGACAATTTCTGAGACAGACCTTGTTATTGGTGACCTTGACAGTTTTGAGGAGGACTAGTCAGGTATTTTGTGTAATGCCCCTTGACTGGAATTCAGCTGATGTTTTTCTCATGATTGCACTTGAGTTATGATTTGGGGAGGAAGATCAGAATCTTCTTTTTTAAAAAAGAAGCAATTTTCTTTTAAAAAATATTTTGGGCAACATATGATATGTAACTGTGCATATTTGTGGGGGTTTTTTTAGTACAAGAATGAATATGTAATTATTAAATCAGAATAATTAATGCCCACTGCCTCAATCATTTGTCAGTACTTGTACTGGGAACATTCAAAATCTCCCACTTTTAGTTACTTGTAGATACCCGACAAGTTGCCATCTATATTCTTCCCACTGCATTTTATTTTATTTTATTTTATATTTTATTTTATTTTTTCGCTAGAGGCACATGTACTCACTTGAGACAGAGAGAGGGAAAGTGAGAAATCACCTCTCAGTGAGGATGGCAACACCACAGTCTCTCCTCTCAGAATTTTAGGCACACATACACACATGTTCAGCGTGACCTTCAAGCTGCTAAGGTCCAAGACTTAAACCTCGTAATCAGCTATGTGGAATCCAGCCACTTAATCTCAGACCACCTGCTGGTCGCCACTGTATTTCATAGCACTAGGTGTTCCTCCTGCTTATCTGAAATACTGTTTACATTAATCAACATCTCTTTATCCTACTCCCAAAGGCATATAACTGATCTCTGATCATTTTTCTTTATTTTCTACTAAGGAAAGGGTTTTTGTCATTTATTTTTAATTTTTTAATTTGCTAGAGGACATGTGTGCTCACCAGAGAGACAGATCGAGAGAGAAAGAGAGAAGTGAGAAAGCACTTCCCCCCTTCATCTCCCCAGGAGGAGATGGCCATACCATAACTCCTTCTCCTCCATTCTCCTCTGGGGACTTTGGGCATGCACACAATGGGCCTGCTATGTCTTTCTTTTCTTTTTTTGAAAGAGAGATTTTTTTGGTATAGGGCATGTGCACTTGCCTTAGACAGAGAGAGACTGAGAGACAGGAAAGGAGAAATCACCCCCTAGTGGTGATGGCCACATGGCAATCCCTTCTCCTCCATTTTCTCCCAGGATCTTGGGCACACACGCACACATGCCCAGTGTGAGTTTTAAGTCTCTGGGTCCAGGACTTGAACGCAGTTGACTGTATGTGAGTCCAGTGATGTAACCATTAAGCCATCTGCTGGCCCCTGTTGTCTCTTTCAAGTCACTGAGTTTAGGACTCTAACCTACGATCGTCCATACAGGATCCCTCCACTTCAGCCACCATCACCATGCCACTAACTGGCTCAGGAAAGGGTTTTATATATCTATATTTGTATCTATCTATCTACGTCTATATCTATATATATTTGGTTTCTTTTCTTCTTAAAATTTTGTCAGATTGTGTGTGCGCTTGCCCAAGGGAGACAGAGAAAGAGAGAGAGAGGAAGAGAGTGTGGTCATCCTACAATCCCTTCTCCTCCTTTTGCCATTCTGTTGGAATTTGGGGTATGCATGCATATGTACCTGGCATGTTTTTCAACCCTCAGGGACTGGGACTCTAATGGTGAGAATGGCCATGTGGTATCTGGCTGCCTTAACCACCAGGCCACGGGACTGGATCAATATTTGGTTTCTTTTTTGCTAATGCTGACCTGGTCACCTGGACATGTTTCTTCACTGTAAAGTTACTCTTTTCCTTCTCTCTTCTATACACCATTCTTTGAGAAAAGTCATTCTGAAAATCCCAGGAACAGGGAGATACATTCCTCCCTCTTTGAGGTTGGAGTATCTACTTAAGTTACATGGATTTCTTCTACCTAAGAGAGCTGTTTTTTCTCATTTATAAACAAGGTTCAGTGAGACCATGATGCCTGTGCTGGGTGCTTGGAGCCCAAGCTCCTCTACTATCCCACCTTCTGTCCCTCCCACCTCCCTAGTCTGGGTTCTACAGGTTTTGCCCCTCCTGAACCAGGCTAGCTTAGAGGTTTAGCAGGACTGTGGCCATTTTGAAATTAAGAACGGTCCCAAACCAGAACAATCTGACCAAGTGCTGAGTCATGGGGAGATCTGTTTTAGGAATGGTCAAATGAGAAACCAGGAATGGGTATTTGAAGTAGAACAGCAATCAAATTAATTACTCAGTAGAAAGTGGTTGACTCTGATTGTCATGAGGGATGATGTGAAAGTGCTTATACCTATAAATCCTACAAACATGTTGAGATTTTCAAGACGGTTTGATGGTACTTGCTGACTGTCTCCCTATAACCAGTTACAGAAGTAAACGTCCTTCCTCTCCAGCCCCTATATCTCATTTCATTGACTATGAAAAGCAGCAGCTGAACTTGGCTGGGGACACCAGTTTCCTGGCCCTCTGGGTCCCACCCAGCCTCTTCCTCTCTCTGGCTTTCCTTCCCATGACATTTCCCTTCTCCCTGGCATTGTGACCAGATAGCATGGGATTGGGAGGGAGGTCTGTGTTCTCACCATGGAAAGTGGGCAAGTTATTCAGTGGATGCCTGGCCCAGGTGAGCTTCTCTTCCACCCCCATCCAGAGCTGTGATTTCTTGTTGGGAGGAGGGGTCACCTATCACTATGGGCTTACACAGCAGGTTCCTAGAGAGGGGAGGTGGACTTGTCCACCCTTGACAGGCCATAGCTGTCAGTCCAGCAGCTGACTGGAAGGGGGAGTCAGCAGCTAGTGGGCCATAGTTTCTGATGGAGGAAAGCACAACTAAATAGCAATAAAAAGAAAAGCAAAACAACATGACAGGACTAGAGAGAGAGATGCACAAGAAAAGTTTTATATTTTACTACTTTTAATTTGTTTTCCTGATTTTCGAAGACATTCTCCATTTCCGTTTTATATTCAGCCCCACAAATTATGAGTAGTAGTTAAGAGGGTAGGTTTTGGAGTCAGAATGCCAAGGTTGAAATAATATCTCCAGTATTCACTAATTGTGTGACATTGGGCAAGTTACTTAACCTCTCTAAATTTCAGTCTCTTTCTTTGAAAAATATGCATAGAAATAACCTCATGCTATTTTTGTAAGATTGAATGAGGTCATGTCTGTAAAGCCATGATGACTGAGAGGCCATCTCACACTCCATCTCATTCCACAGTCACTCAGAACGTCTACAGAGCCTAACAGAGGCGGTTTCTCTTCTTTACAATTTCTGTACATCTCCTTCACCTCCAGTACAGAGAACATCACAGGTTTTCATGAGATAACACATTAAATCCAGCCAGGTTCCAACAGGATTGATGAAGGAGTGACCAAAAACATACTGAGCATTATGTACGTAACTCTGACCAGCATGCCACCCTGACTACCAGTCAGCTGGAAAGAGCACAGGAAAAGGAATACAAAGCAATGTATCTTCAGGTGGGCAAAGTTCCAGAAAAACATCAGTAAAGTACTTTAGAAGAATCTACATTAGGAAACCTATTTGGAATTATGCAAAGTTTGGTGCCTAACTGAAGTACAAATCAACATTTCCTAAATTCCTTTTCAAGATAGGATGGCCTAGTATACATTAGAATTTTGTAGACTCTGGGACCAGCAGTTAGCTGGACTCCCATGTAGTCGACTGGGGTTCGAGTCGCAGACCCGGTGGCTTAAATTCACGCTGGGTGCATGTGCCTGTTTGCCCAAGATCCCAAGAGGAGAATGGAGGAGAAGGAATTGTGGCATGGCCATCTCCCCTGCGGGGTGATTTCTCGCTCTCTGTCTCACTGTCTCTCTGTCACTCTCTGTCTTTCTGGCGAGCACACGTGCCCTATAGCAAAAACTTCTTTTAAAAAAAAAAAGAATTTTGTAGACTCTAAGAGTTCCACAATAAAAATAATCATATAAAGTTAATATGACCCCGAGAGTCCTAAAGGTGTTACGCTTGGAATCTCTTTATTCACAAGGCATCTGCCGATGTCTTGAAGAACATTAGCTGTTATCTAGAACACACTATGGAGTTAAGCTGCTTAAAAGAAGAGATAGTGTCTTCATTATTATCTTATGCCTAGCCAGAGAAGAAAATATTGATTTAATAAATTAAAAATTGAATGGTTCTTTTGTTTTGGCTATGCCTGGTCTTTAACACGGTCACATGCAACATGCATCTAGGCATTTAAATAAAACACATGATGCCATCAAAAAATCCCTGCTGAATCTAATAAGGCACATATTATCATCGTTGTATTATGAATAGAGAAGTTGAAGCTCGGAGAGGTAGAGTGACTTAACTAAGGTTACAAGTTGGTTAATGTAAGAGCCGAGATAAAAACTAGGTCTTCGGATTCTAGATCCTATGTGCTTTTTACTGCATCTAGCTAGAAAACTGTACAGAAGTTTGCTATGCCATTGTCCAAGACAATAAAGTGAATAAAACACTTACTTCAAATAAGCGCAGGACTTTGGCCAGTGCGCCAACTTCTTCTTTAAGTGAGAAGATCAGTGATATGGCACCGTCTTGATTGGAGTTATCTTCAATATAGCTTGTTTCCTGAAGGGTTAAAGCATTTCCACCATTTAGCAATTCATTCCCAGGGAGCCTCCAAGGAAGAAGCAAGCATGAATACTTTATTTTAGTTAATCCTTGGAGTACGATGAAAAAAAAATGCACACACACACACACATACACACATATAAAAAATTTGATTATTCACTAATGTCAGCAATCAACCTTATCAATTTAATATACTTTTTTGAGCCTCTATTAAATGCCAGGCACTATTCAGATTCTGAAAAATACAATGACGAATAAGACAATGCCCCATTCTTTAAGAGCTCATAATCTGACTTAACAGACACACACACAACAAAGCAAAATGTCCTCAGAGGTGATACAATACAGTTCAAAAAGTGTCCTAAAAAAAATCACTGGTCAATACTGCGTAGAATGTACTAAAAATAGAGCTTACACTGGTTTTGAGTCTAAAGATCTGGACTGGACTCCTCTCTCTTGCACTTGCCAGTTGTACTACTTTGGGAAAATGCCTTGGCCTTCTTTTTTCCTTCGTCTTTAAAATTATGATAATAAGCTCTGTCTACACAGTATTCAGTTGATTAAAAAAGTAAAAGCTGAAATATAATACTAAATAGAATATTAATATATATATATATATGATGGAAATATAGGTACATAAGAATGACCTCTTGGCCTTTGTCAAAGATCTCAGGAAGCTTTAACTTGTTCCCATATACTAATATCTGAATTGTTCAAAAAGAGTCCAAAAAATACATTGAAGTACACAAATAACCTTTCAGAAGTTGGAGGACTCAAACTAAGTACAAAGAACATCAAGGATCTAGCATTACTAAATGTGGGGACAGTAATATAAAGTGAGAACAACATCAGCATTCCAGATGTTGTACCTGAATTGTTTTTGTTCTAATTTTTTTTTTTCTAGAGGGCATATGTGCTTACCAGAGTTGCAGGGAGAAAAAGAGAAGAAAGTGCCCTCCTCCCTCAGTGGTCATGCTGCAGTCCCTTCTCTCCCTCCTTTAAGAACCCTGGGCACACATGCACACGTGCCTGTTGTGTTTCTCAGGTTGCTGAGTCTGGGACTCAAATACTGTGGTTGATCATGGGGATCAACTGCCTTAACCACCAATGCCAGGAGCCAACCCAATCTAAGTTTTAAAAGAATAGATTAAATTCTATATGTTCCCACCAATAAACAGCATGTACCTAAAATTGGGAAGAAGACCTTGTGCAGACAATTGCTTGCTTGTTAGCAAGTTAATGAAATGAACGGATATTATATCATCTCTATAAAAGAAGACTCATCAGTTCTCAGAAAAATAAGCCCTGCATGCATACTGGTGACCCTTAAGTCATCAGGGTCATAGGAAAAAAATTCTTCCAATTCACAACATTCGGACTTTTTCCAGAACCTCACATGAAACAAGAGTGTGGGAGGAGAATCAAATGTATCAGCAAGCGTGATCATGGGGAGCTTCGAATGAATTGAGAGACTGAACTGTTGTATATATATCCCTGTTTGAATCACGAGGTTATCTTACAATTCATTTTAATGTATCATTTACTAAGAGCCTACAGTGTCCCAGGTATTATAAAAAGCACTTGATTTGAGGTGGTAGAGTTTATTATATGCGTGTTCCCCTTTTACTGATGACAAGATTAAGTCCTAAAGAGGTGAAGTGCCTTGTCCCTAACAGCAGAGCTCAGATCTGAACCCAGGTCATTTGCTCTCTGCGTCCTGCCTATGATCACAACCTCTTGTAGGCTCCTCTCTTCCTTTTTCGAGCCCTGCCAGAATAAGCAGGTGAGCCTCTGATTTTAGCCTTCTTCTTATCAGGGAACACTGAGTCCTTTGCTTTTCTTCTGATTTCCTTGAAATGACAAAAGATTTCCCTGTTTCTAATTTATTTGGCCACTTTCTGTTCTCTGTTTGCCTCCAAGAAAAAGAAGAGATTCCTGATACACCTCAATGGATGCCACCTTTGACACCTAGGGTAATTCAGACTTGAATGCACCTGTGTGATTGAAACTCCGTCACTGCCACTGCTACCCAACTCCTGTGTGTGTCCAGTCAGTCACCAAGTCCAGCTCTGTGTTCTCTGGAAATGGCTCTTGGAGTCAGGTCCACCCATCCCCCAACATTGTCACATGAATCCAGCTCTTACGGATCTGTACTGATCCAGTCCTAACAGAAATGTTGTGTATGCAATTCCTTTATGCAGAACTCTTCAATACTCCACCCCCATGACCATTTGGATAAAATACTACTTGCCAATATTCAACAGTCTCTTTAGAATTTCACCTCACCTCTGGGGGAGGTGAAATCTCTTAGGAACCTCCCTTCTATCCAAACTGCTTCCTCCTCGCCTTTCAACTCCTCATTAGAGTAAGCCATTAAACTCTCCTTTCCAATATCTCACCCTTCCTCCAAGATCATCGTGGCTCTTACTTTGCTCTGAAAACCTTTGTGCTCCTCAGCCTAAGGGAGCAATCACTCTTTTACCTATATATTCCATTGGGCTTCTGGGCCTCATATGGGACTTGACGATAATTGACTCACAGAGCTAGATTTGTCGTTGAGGTTCATCTAGTCCAACCCCCTCATTTTATAGACGGGAAAACTTAAGGCCACAGAGAGAAAGAGACTTGCTTGAAGTCATGCAAATAGTGGAGGTAGGTCAAGATCTCAGGCTCCTAAAAATCAATTGTTCTGTATTCCTCTCTCTGTTATGGACATGACGTGGGAATTCAGGCCTCTGGGGTTTTTTTTTTTGCAAAGTAAGGAATTTACTCTGATCAAATCACCAGTCACTTGATGCTATTACATTATTTTGAGAGATTTTTGCTATGGGGTACCTGCCCGTGTGGGAGAGACAGAGAGAAACAGACAGAAAGTGAGCAATCACATTCCCCAGGGGGTATGACCATGCCACAATCCCTTCTCCTCCATTCTCCTCTTAGGATCTTAGGCATGCACATGGCTGGCATGAGTTTTGAGAGACCAGGTCTGGGACTCGAACCACAATTGACTATGTGGGAATCCAGCCATGAAACCATTACGCCATCTGCTGGTCCCACTTGCTACTACTACTAGCAGCCTATATTTTGCCCATGCCCATCCCCTTTCATTTTCTCCATTCTTAGTCTTCATACGCTTTCTTTTTTTTTCTTTTAAAAAAGAATTATTTAACTTCATTTATTTATTCATTTATTTTAATTTGACCAGAGAGAGACAGAGGGAGAGTATGTGTGTGAGAGAGAGAAAGAGAAAGTGAGAAAGCAAGTCACCAGGTCCAGGACTCAAACCACAGTTGGCCATGTGGGAGTCCAGTGCCCCCAACTACCATGCCACCTGCAAACCCCGTTCTTCATACACTTTCTAAATTAGTATTTCTCAATAAGTGTTCCTTAGATCTCAACTCCAAAATTACCTCATGATTTCTTGCCCTAATACAAGTTCTTAGGTCTCGCAGAGTCTCATCAAATTAAAACAGTTGAGGTGGGATCTTAGAATCTACATTTAAAAAAACTATCTGAAACTATTCCTAACCTCAGAAAAATTTGAAACCACTGATAAAAATATAGTCATTTAAAAAAAATTGACTTTTCCCAGATCTGTTTGCAAATTCACATTTACTGTATGACAAGGCAGTACTCTGTTGTTATTAATCCAATACTAGGGCTTACTGTTGATTGAGTGAGCACCCACGTACTTAGTTCTCATGGTTCATAAATGTCATCACTGACAGCTACCAGCACTATTCTAAAGTTTTACACGTAACAGTTATTTAGTTCTCGCAATAAGCCCATGAGGATGTTATTTTGCATATGAGGAAATAGACTCTGCTAGGTTATGTAGCTTGTCCAAGAACAGTCAGCTAATGAATGGCAGAGCCCAAACTTGAATTCAGGTCTAACCACTCCAAAGCCCTTATTCTGCCTCTCAGTGACAAACTCAGTTGGAACAATAGCTCCTTTTTCTCTAAACATAAGGGACTTTAAATGAAAGGAAGACCATGGACATTTATGAAATGATGTCGTTTGGGGTAGATTTGAATTCCAGTTTCTGATTCTGTTGTGTTGAACCAACCAATCATGGCCCCTTAAACAAGACTCTTGCAGAATACATTTTTACTGGCTCATAAGCTATACTCTTTTTGTTTTCAAAAGACATGTAACTATGTGTACTCATCATGGGTAAAAGGTAGGAAAAAAAAAAAAAAAAAAAAAAAAAAAAGTAGCTCAGAAACTATATAACAAGAAATAGGGAAGGAAAAATGGACTAGGAACCAGGAAGGGAAGAATATTGATCAGTGAGCAATAGATTCAACAGCAGAAATATGTTCTCTTTGGTTACATATAACAAATGCATTCTGCTATCTTTTTAGTAGTAGTATCTTTAGTTTTGGGGGCTTGCAAGTGGCATGGTGGTTAAGGAGCTAGATTCCCACATGGCCAACTGTGGTTCGAGTCCCTAGCAGCTTGCTCTCTCTCTTTCCAAAAAATCTCTGGTCAATTTTTTTTAAAAAAATGGTAATAAATAAAATTCAATAAATATTTTTTAAAAAAGAAAAAGTAGTTTTCAAATTTACAAATAATGTGCTTTAGCAAGGATATTCCAGGGATGCTAACTTTCAATCTTAGTGCTTTATGGAATCATAGTAAAAGGTGTGTATTTGCCTGTGTGATTATAAAAGTGTGTGCACATATATGTACACTCACACACAGACATATACTGGGTAAGACAACTGAAAACCAGATGCAAACCTCCTGCCATGGACATCATAATTCTCTATATTCTATAGGAGGAAGCATTGTAATAAAGAGCTATCTATGCATAGTCGTTGGGGTCATAGCTAAGGATGAACACACGCTTCATTGTTCATAGCTGAGCTCTCTGAGTTGCCCTCATCTTTTGCTTAATTTTTCTTCATGGCATTTATAGGTAATTATATTACAAGTTCATTTTATTAACTTTGTATTGCTTATCTCCTACACTAGAATGTATAGGAGAATTCAAAAAGTTTGTGTAAAATGAAGTTAAAATATGACCTTCTTTTAATGGAAAGAAATTTTGTAGTCTACACATAGTTTTTTTCTGGGAACTTTTTGAAGATGCCTTATAAGTTTCACCAGGACAGAAACGCTGCTGTGCCTGGCACACAGTAGGTGCTTAGTAAGTCTGTGTTGGGTGAGTTAATGAGCCAAACCTCCCTTATAGGAGTATTGTATTGTTGCCTATGAAAAGCAATTGACAAGTCATATGTCCCCCATCAAATGGTGACTTCTTCCCATAGCCTGCCTTCTGCCAGAATTAGGTCCAGTGTGTGCTGTTTGTCTGGGCTGGGAGCTTTAAGAAGGTGTAACTGGTGTTTCTTCAGACTGTCAGAGTCTAAAGATGAAAGCTAGTTTAGTCCAACCTTCCCCATTCCAGTTTTACAGATTCCAAGTGCAGACTCCTCCACCCAATTAAGTGACTTCCCCACTACATAGGCTAAGCAGACCAGAGATGAGAATCCAGGTCTCGTGTCTACACATCCAATACATTTCATGACCAGGCTGTACCAGACCCAGTTACTGACTCTTTGCTTGTCTTTGCTGCCAGGGTTCAAATGCATTTGTAGAACAAACAAATGGGTTCTGGCTAGACACATGTTGGCACTTTCCTTTGTTAAGAAGTATACTAAGAGCTTTGTAGGTGTTATTTTGTTTCATTCTCATACAACTATAGGACACAGGGATTTTTATTCCTAATTTTCAAGTGCATACACCTAAAGTCATGCTGCCAAGGCAGAGGTGGCACCTGGGCATGCCTGAAATTCTCCCTTTTACTAATACCCCAGCTCTGACAACTGGTTGAGTTCTCAGTCCTTTCAGTACTTTATAAATAAAGATTTCAGGCCCCATGCCTCCCTACCCAGGAACCTGCCTCAGCATCTCCCATGGTTGTGGGGCACTACTGCCAACAGCACCAGAGCTGCAGGGAGGATGGAGCCAGATTCTGTTGGTTCTGGGCTTCGTCTGATGTCCACGCAGTCCCTCTTCAATACTAATTTTCCATCTCCCAGGCACCACATGCCATTTTCATAGAAAAACCTCTTAGAACCCCCCCAAAAAAATCAGTCTAAGTTTCTTCTGTCTCTCTAGTTACACTATCTTTTTTTAGAGAGAGATTTTTGCTATAGGGCCTGTGCACTCACCAGAAAGACAGAGACAGAAAACAGGAAATCACCACACAGAGGGGATGCCATGCTGCAATCCCTTCTCCTCCATTCTCCTCTCAGGATTTTGGGCACACACAAACACATATCTGGCATGACTTTCAGGCTGCTGGAATCCGGGACTCAAACTGTGTTCGGCTACATGGGAGTCCAGCGACGTAACAATTATGCTATCTGCTGGTCCCTAGTTATACTAACTTTAACATCAACCCTCCTCTCCTTTCCAATCTCCCTGTTCTCTAATCTGGCTCTGCTCTCCTAATCCTGCAGATAACAAGTGCAGGCAGTTTTGAATTGCTTCCCCAGTGCGGGCTTTACATCTGATACCCAGAGTCCTGGACTGTGATGTCTGGCCTCTGGTGAGTTCAGAAATCAAGGAATGCATTCTGCAGGTTTATGTCAAGAAAATGACAAGAAGTCCTGCAGACTGAGCATTAAATCACATGCAACGTGGGTTCTTGCCTAGGGACAACCCTACTCATTTTCTGCCCTGCTTAGTGTCTGGTAAGTCACTGAATCCTCTTTAGGTCGGATCTTTTTTCCAGAGTGAAAGACAGTTTCTCACAATTTTGGCCTTCTGGTATCTGGCTGAGAGCACGTCATAAATACCACAAAAGAGTTCTCCCACCCCAGGATGACTTGTGCAAATACACCCGGTGAGTTGGTGGCAGTTCTGGATGGCAGATCCTCTAACTCCTAAAGCAGTGAAAAAACTTGCAGGACTAGCAGGACAGATGCTCCCCGCTCCCGGACTTGGACACACTTGCCAAGGGCATGTCTCGCACGCTGGCTTTCTGGGTCCTCAGTTATCTCCAAATGAATTCAGACTTCTTGGAGAGTTTATGAAACTAGGAAATCAACATTTCTCAGATCGCGCTCTCTCCCGGTGGAAGGGTGACAAACTCTCCTACCTGAGTACCTGAGGCCCCCCGGGGCTCACCTGTCCGAAGTCGGAAAGTTTCCTGCCCAAGCCACGGTTCTCTAGGACCACGGCGGCTGACATGCTGCTCCCAGTCAGGTCCCTACCTCTAGGGCGTCAGCAGTCACAGGTTAATTTGCAAACAGCGTGTGGGGCTGAGGGTTTTAACCAGCATTAGGGAGAAGAGGAGAGGCTCCAAGGGGTGTCTCCTGCCGCCTGTCCCAGCACTAACGCCCCCGGTGGGCGTTGTCCTGACGCAGTAAGCGAAGGCGGCCCAGTCTTGCTCCAGGTCATCTGCCCTGGTTGCTGGAGGTGAGGCAGGGGTAGGGAGTGGGGGGAGGGAGGCGAAGAGGGTGTGTCTGACGCGGGAGGCCAGGCTTGGCTGCCCGCCCAGTGTGGTGGGCGGAGCTAGAGAGTGCAAGGCCACCTGTGCCCTGACAATTGTATAAGTAAAGGCACCTTTCGGGACTCTCAGCCGTCTGGGGAGCGGGCGCATTTGGAACAAATCTGAGACCGCCTGGTAATAACCATTATGTGAATAAACCCTCCCCGCCCTCCCGGAGAAACAGAGCCAGGATGTTAATTTCAGAGCCAGGCCTCTATTTAGTTTTTCTTTTTTCTTTTTTTCTTTGGTCTCTTCTATTAACCATTAAGCAAATTGCCTTGCCGTCCTTTGCCTTTGGAAAACGACTTATAGTTGTCATTGCAAATGCTGAATACAAGCCCTCAAGAGCGAAGGTTAGATGGATCTGGATTGAAATCCAGCCTCATGTTCCCAAGCTGTTTACAAAACTGCTGGGAGCTGGAAAAGGAGGATGGTAGAGCCATCTTGCTGGAATGTGCTAAGAGGAGGAATAAAAACAGGAATGGCATAATGCATTGAACATCGAGTACATTTCTGACTACATAGTTAAACACTCAATAAATGGAAGATATTGTTCAAACGTTTGTCCACACAAATTTGACAGGTGACTATTGAGGACCTAGTGTCCTAGGCATTGGGGAGGCGGCAGTGAACAGAAGAGAGGCCCTTGCATATTTGTTCACTTTGTACCAAATGAAAGGCTTAATGCTAAGCAAAGCAACTATGACAGGCAGACTTTGTGTGTCCCCACTCAATATATACCAATTATCTGTGCTCTATGACAGAATCTGACAGTTTGGAAGGTATGGGGCAGGGAGGGCAATAGTAGATACTAGAGATAGTAAGGACAGGGGTAATATGGGTGTGGGTAATGGAGGGTGGGAGGGAGGAGAACTAGGGAAGAAAAATAAAAAGTACACTTAATTGATAAAAAAATGAAAACCTCTTTGCTGCTGATGATGATGTGTATTGTAATGTCTTTGTCTTGACTGATATGCATGGTAATCTTGCTGGAAAAAGAAATTTCATATGCTGTAAAGATATGTAAAGATAATATAGTATGAAAAATAAAATTTAAAAATATCTTTTTTTAAATAAAAAGAGGGCCTTGCTTCCTCTCTTGCTGCCCTTCTGCTGAAAATAAAGAAGCAAGTTCTATACAAAACAGAGAAATGAACTAGGAGTGAACTAGTGGGTATTGGGGAGTGGTCTTCTTCAAGTAGGCAGGAACATGTCGTTAACCCAATTTTTTCTGATAAGGAAATGAGGTAAGTCATCAGTAGGTGAACTGAAAAAAGAAAGAACATTAGAAAGTCAGAAGTTCAGATAGGACATGAAAAATCTGGGGCATTGAGGCCTTGAGTGCCTGCTTAATATTTGCCTGGGAGAGGTCAACAAGCAATGAGAAAACAAACCAATAATAGAGGCTGCTAGAAATCCACCCCCTCCCCTCCCACGATTCTTTGATCAAATGACCAAGCATCTGCCAAAAAAGAAAAAAAGACGGAGGAGGAGGAGGAGGAGGAGAGTGAGTAAAAAGGTGAGAAGGGTAAATAACTTCAAAGACTTATCCCAGCAGGTGAGGTGGAGGAGGAGGAGGAGGAGGAGGAGAAGGAAATCTCAGGTTTAGGATTCAAAACAAGTGTGTTAACTTCTGATTCTACCACTGATTAGCTATGTATCTTTGGTCAAGTCCATGTCTCAGATTCATGTTTTTTTGTTTTTTTGGTTTTTTTTTTAGAATTATTTATTTCAGGACCAGCAGGTGGTGTGGTTGTTAAGGTGCTGGACACTCCCACATGGCCAACCACGGTTCGAGTCCCGGACCTGGCGGCTTCCTTTATCCCTTTCTCTCTATATATATGTCTCTCTCTGGTCAATTAAAAAAAAGAATGAATGAATAAAATTAAATAAATAATAATTTTTTAAAAAATAATTATTTATTTGATTATTAGTATTATTATTGTTGTTGTTGTTATTTCAATTCTACTAGAGAGAAACAGAGAGGGAAGGTGAGAAAGCAAGCTGCCAGGTCTGGAACTTGAACTGTAGAAGGCCATGTGGGAGACCAGCACCCTAACCACCATGCCACCTGCATGTCTTTTAATGGGAATTTTAAGGGTTTTACTTAGGGTTTCTTGGCATGGACACTCTGTGTCTATTTATAGACACTGTGCCAAACCATTCACATGAAGATTTCATTTTTTCCTCTCAATAGTCCTATGAGTGAAGCATGACCTTCTTTTAAAAAATAATTGTTTAATTTTATTCATTATTATTATTTTTAATTTGATCAGAGAAAGACACAGAGAGAGCGAGAAAGAAAGAAGGTGGAGAAAAGTGACAAAGCAAGCCACTGGGTTCAGGACTCAAACTGCAGTCAGCCATGTGGGAGTCTAGCCTCAACCACCATGCCACCTGCTAGCCCCCAAAGCACGATCTTTTAATAGATGAAAAGATACTGAGGAGACCAGCAGATGTTATAATAGTTATGTAGCTGAACTCCATGTAGTTGGCCCAGTTCCAATCCCAGACCTAGTGGCTTAAAACCAACGCCAGGTGCACGTGCATGCATGCCCATCTTAAGAAGAGAATGGAGATGAAGAAAATGCAGCAGCGTGGCCATCCCCCCGGAGGGGTGATTTCTCACTTTCTGTCTATCTTTCTGTGTCTCTCTGGCAAATGTATGTGCCCTAGAGAAAAAAATCTTTCTAAAAACAGAAAGAAACTGAGATACAGAAAGTTTAAGTAAGTAGCCCAAATTCAAACTATTGCATGTTCAACAAATTCTAAGCCACTTCTAGAGTATCCTTTCTTTCCTTTTGAATTGAGCACAAATGTGATTTTTAAGAAAACAGAGTAATAGTCCTTTTTTTCTCACATCAGCTATAAATGAAATTAAAACAAAATTATGCCAGAGGACATGTGTATGAAAGAGAGAGAGAGAGTAAGAGTGAGAGAGAAAACACCCTCTTGGCCACACCACAATCTTTTTTCCTCCAGGTTTCTCTCCTGGGTACATGCACGTTTCCTGTATGTTTTTTAAGCTCAAGAGGCAGGTCTCAAAGTCTGGTTGGCTGTGTGGGATCTGGCTTCCTCTGTGCAGCACTTAACTGCTACACCGTGGGACCAGCTCTAAAAAGGAAACTCTGAATCTTATCTCACATAAAACCATGCCCCACATCTGGGTTTGGAGGAAAACACACTTAATTGTTTGCTACTTCAAAGACAGAAACACTGTTAGTTTCTTAAAAAAAAAAAAAAAAAAAAAAAAAAAAT